TTCCTTTCATGCGCTCAATCGAAGCTCGCGGTTGATTTATTTGCTTTCGGATTAATGAATCCACCGCATAGCAACTCGTGCTTGAAATGGCGGTTGGATGACGCAAGATTTACTCGACTATCTTGAGCCGCACTCACGTTTTACAATTAAACTCGCGGTTTCTTCGCGTACTCGCGGATTTCACGCGTCGCGTATTCGCGTAATTGCGCTACTTTATTTATTACGACGGCGGTACAAATCTTCGCGGCCGGGACTGTTTCTTTCGACAGGAACTCGCGACGGCGTTCCCTGTTCGGTTAATCGAGAAGAAAAGACCCGGAAGGAGTCCCGACGGCGCGTTATATAGCGGGCGTCGACATCCCCTTCCGATAATGCGGATGGGTCGGCGAATTTGCTTCGGCCAATGAATTGATAAAGGGTACCGTCCCCCGAGTTCCCGCCTACAACTAGAATGGCGGTGTCGAAATATGTCCGGCGTCCGTGACGTTGCGGCGCGCCGAAAGTCGGAACGCTACGCGTTCAGTAGTACAAGCCATTCAGTCCCGGCGGTCGGTGCACGTTGCAGTCAGTCGCCTTCGGGCGTATGTCCCGCCGTGACGTCACGCATCGCGGGTTGCCCACATTGTGGCGCGGTCGCGCGCTCGCTCGACCGGGAATCACATTTTCGTCTCGGTGATGATTCCCGAGGTATCGCATCGCCCTCCGAGGGCTATATCGCCGCATTGTGGCTAAAATGTGAACAAAATCTGAAATAAACTAAAATATGACCTCGTCACTTGCTCTCTGCAAAATTGTGATTAATTGTGACTAAAATGAATCAAATAAACTGAAATTAATGTCGGATTCTTATCTCCGTACAATTTGTGACTAATTCTATTCGTTTTCTTATTTTCAGGTAACCCGTGATTTGAAATGTGGTGAAAACTAAAAGGTGAGTATTACTCAGCGTATTTGTGACTCAATTTACTTGTTAATGATCTTTCTTTTTATTTCAGGTTCCTGTTATCGCGTAGACGGTATTTTCGCCAATCTAATGTGGTACGTTCGCGAGGTAAGTATATTATCGCTTGTTTTTGTGACTAATTGTCTTTTATTCATCCCGCAGGTACAGGTTTTCGGTTATCTTGTGACTCATCTCGAAAGAATATAAAATAAAACTCTTTTCACGTTATTGTTTGCACTCATGCACTCATTCATACGTGCGCTTACAAAAAATCTTAATCTAAGAATACATAATTGCCTTTTGAGCCTAAATCAAAAATATAAAGTAAAAAACATGTGTTAAATAACATCAAATAAAATGTGGCAAACAATTATAAAAGGTAGTATAATCTCAAAATATAAAAAACTCAAAATAAAACGAATATTAAGTAAAACAGATATGTCGCTGGCTGTGTAGTACCAGGTACTCAAATCCCGTTATGATCAGCTCGGCCATGTTCAAAATTAACCATATGAAAATAAAATAAAATATAAAAGTTGCGACACATTTGATCGCCCTTGCCCACGACATGTCTATTTCAGTTGTTTAATAACTGCGTCGCTATCGGGTATCGGTCCCCCGTTGGAATTCGCTGTTGCGACGGGCTGCGCCACAATTGGCGCGTGATATGACGAGCCTGTTGCCGCCTGAAGTTCCGCGACGAGCTTGTCGAGGTCGTCGCCGCTCCTATTGAGAGCCAGGCCATGCTCGGTTATGCTGCACTGCGACAGCGTCGAGGTCTCTGCTTCCTCGCATCCGGATTGTGGATGCTGTGGCTCCGGTGGTCGTCGGACGTCAGAATCGCCACAAAATGGAATCGGGTGCTGGAACACATCCGGTTCCAAGCTCAGATTTGGTTAGGTTAGGTTATGTTAGTTAAGGCAAGGCGGGTTCTCTCGTGTGTAGCGAGACGTACGGACGTGTCTATGTGCCGCTCCGTCGTTCCTGCATGCGACCGTGCGGAAATAACACGCGTAGCGTCTCAAAAGTGCGGTCAGTTTGTGCGGATTGCGATTCTGTATCGATTCTTAAAGTTTTGTGTGCGGGAATGTATTTCTCTTGAAGAAATAGTCGATTCTTTGGTGCCACGAGGCGTGGCTCGTTGCCCCGGCTCAAGATGGCCATCATCTTGCCGTGTGCGAGCTGTGAGTGTGAGTAGGTGTCTTTTTCCTCGGGAATTTTCTGTGAGGCTCGGGAATACTGAGTGCTGGGCTCGCTGCCCTTCGAAAGTATAACAGCGTGACAGGGAATACTCCGGACTTACTCCGAAATAACCGCGAAATCTATGTGCGGGTTGAGTAGTGCGTTATATAAGTGACGCGTGCTCCGAAAAGCGCGGGTACTCACTCGCAACGTATACGAACCTTCGGGATATACGGCGGAAATGTGAGTGATAGTGCGGAAACGCTTAATTTTGGAGTGAGTCGGTTTTTCCGGGCTGAAATTCGCGAATTGTTACTTTAAAAGCAGTTAAACTGCATGGGGAGTGTG